CTGCACAATCTCGAGATTGTGCAGATTCCAAGTTTGGGTACGACATGTGTACAGTTATATATCACATATTTCATTGCATTTCAGCAAGATACAAAAACTAGCTATCAGTCATGGACTTCGACATGGATGAATATATAGACATGATTGGCACGTCGGTAGAGCTAAACAGTCGCAGCTACAGAGAAGGTCCAAAACCGCTGTATAAGTGCTTTGGGCGAGGAAAAAATAGGCCTCTACTTGAAAATTATGCTGTTCCATCGATATCATCTCTTAAAAGGATGAAGGAAAAAAGACTAAACAAGTATGTACTGTAGCTGCTCTAGGTAACAATGAATTAAAAGTTGCTAGTGTGCATGCATGTGTACATGTAAAAATGGGCATATCCATTTTTACATTGGTTTTCGTTACTTGTGTTTAAAGATCGTTGCATAAATATTGCAGATATTCAACATCAAATTAATGATGTGATATTTTCAGGAATGGGTTTCATAACAATGTGGACCACCTCATTGCCAACACTGTAACACCTATGACATACTGGGATGAAGGCGAGAAAAGTTCTTACACTTCATGTGAGATAGTAAGTTATCTTAAAACGTGTCCTGATAATAAAAAGTTGTCCTTGAATTTTGCAGTTGTCAGAAAGAGCAAAATCTGGCTGAATGTATCTTCCTGGTTATTCTAAATATTTATGTCGTGTCATTTTGTGTGTTTGATGCATTTTGTAGTTTAATTTATACTAGTGCTCCAGATTATTTATGTGGTGGTTGAGTACTTTGCAACATTTCCTAAATATATGAGTAACAGAAAGTTTATTGTGAGTATTCTTGATTGTTACTTCACTGTGAATACCTGAAGTTTTTGGCTGTTCAAATGTGTGTACGTGTCTGTTTGTGCATGCGTGCGTGTGCGTGCGTGCATGCATGCGTGTGTACGTGTCTGTTTGTGCATGCGTGCGTGTGGGTCGGTGCGTGCGTGCATGCATGCGTGTGTACGTGTCTGTTTGTGCATGCGTGCGTGTGGGTCCGTGCGTGCGTGCATGCATGCGTGTGTACGTGTCTGTTTGTGCATGCGTGCGTGTGGGTGCGTGCGTGCATGCATGCGTGTGTACGTGTCTGTTTGTGCATGCGTGCGTGTGGGTCCGTGCGTGCGTGCATGGCACTGCGTGTGTACGGTGTCGTTGTGCATGCGTGCTGCGTGCGGTGCTGCTTGCCGTGTGTACGTGTCTGTTTGTGGCATGCGTGCGCGTGTGGCCGTCCGTGCGTGGTGCATGCATGCGGTGTGACGTGTCTTTTGTTGCATGCGTGTTGCGGGTGCGTGCGTGCATGCTGCGAGTGTACGTGCGTTGTGCGATGCGTGCGCGTGCGTGCGGTGCGTGCGTGCCATGGCGTAGTGTTACGTGTCTGTTTGTGCCATGCGTGCTGTGGGTCCGTGCGTGCGTGCATGCATTCCGTGTGTACGTATCTGTTGTGTGCATGCGGGCGTGTGGGTCCGTTGGCTGTGCGTGCATGGCATGCATGCGGGCTCAATTTTAACAGTCGTTCGGTTTGTCCGTGAGACTGGGAATTTTCTCTCGGGGCAATACATATTGCTTCGTGGTTGTCCGCGCTGTCCAACGGCTCTATAAAAAATTTTATATTCATATCTGTGCGCGTTCATTTTTACATACGGCCAGGTTGCACATATTACGGGGCTTGCAAGTACATGTCCTTAGACGCATTGTCTGGCTTGCTTGATACAAAGTATAACATCACGTGTTTAACAACACAATAGGCGCGTTCACACTGACGGGAATTAGCGGGATGCAAATCTCGGTTTTTGCATCGCGATCGAAATCTCGAGATTTTTACAAGTGTGAACGCAAAAATCTCACTACGTATCGCGATCAGAATCGCGCTGCAAATCGCACTTTAGCCTACGATTATTTGGGAATTAGCGCGATTAATTGCACCGCGGCGTGTGTGTGAACGCTCGCGCAAATAATCCCGGTATTTTCTATCCCATCATTCCAAGCGATCGTATCAACTTGGCCGATTTGGCATGTTTCAAGAAAGGAGGGTTAATCGCCGATCTCAATTCAATCTGAAAAGGTGCAGTCTCGACTCTGTACTAACAATACGATGTGTTTACGTAAATACGTGCAGACGTAGAGTAGCATACGTTAACGTAACAGAGCTAGAGTAGCATACGTTAACGTAACAGAGCTAGACTACTATACCAATGACTGCACTGCCGTGTACATGGAATCAAACACCGAACTCGAATCCCGGTAGTACATAATTCACGCGCGCGCGACCGGAAGGGTTATATTCTGGCGTGATATCAGGCATGCGCAGTTCGATTAATAGAATTATCCCGCTCGGCGATTAGCGAGATATTTCCGCCTGTGTGAACAAGGGCACAATTATCTCGGTATTTCCATCGCGATCACCATCGCGGGTTTTCTTGTGTGTGAACACGCCTAATGTTTCGTGTTAATTTTCAATTTTTACTCATCTGTGACTTGGTTGTTGTTGTTAGTAATGTTAGTAGTGTTAGTTAACTTAATGTAAATGTTACGAAATAAATTTCATGCAACTTTTAATTACTATTATTATACGTCATTGATCCCAGCATCATTTACCACATTACCAATATTTTATTCTCTTCATATAATGAGTGAAACAATGTGAATGGTCATGTCTGCTGTCACTGCAATACGTACAAAATGTACATGATTAGGCCTTTTGCTTTACAGCACTGAGCATCACGTGAGCAGAGCGCATGCAGCACATGTTTAAATAATATCCGGACAACCAAAACTCTTGAGGGACAACCATATATGCTACTCTCTTGGTTGTCCTCCGGACAACCCAAAAAAAACCTTAAAATTGAGCACTGTGCGTGTGTACGTGTCTGTTTGTGCATACGTGCGTGTGGGTCTGTGCGTGCATGCATGCGTGTGTACGTGTCTGTTTGTGCATGCGTGCGTGTGCGTGCGTGTGCGTGCGTGCATGCATGCGTGTGTACGTGTCTGTTTGTGCATGCGTGCGTGTGGGTCCGTGCGTGCATGCATGCATGTGTACGAGTCTGTTTGTGCATGCGTGCGTGTGGGTGCGTGTGTGCATGCATGCGTGTGTAGGTGTATCACCCTATGTTTGTGTACAGCTTTGCTTACATAGGTAAATGTTAATGTATCTGTGCTCTCTGAGTTTTTGTATATACATGCATAATTAGGATTTAACTATTAATATTTTACACTAGAGGCCCACTTAGGTTGGCCTTACGACCTAGTCGCCGACAAGATTTGAATATCGTACGTCAAAAACCGGCCAGATCGCCGATAAAAACATCGACGACTAAACTCGACATGAGTTCTCTTACAATCGAAAATACGGTCGCCGACTGTGATCGCAGGAATAGAACATGTTCTATTTCTATGCGGCGGTCGGCGACAAATCGTGAGTGGCAGCCAATCACCGCAACGTGTCGAGTCACATGATCAACAAAATGGCATAGGAGGGATTATTGCACAAACCGTTTCTCAAATATATATTAAGTTTTCCGTATATCACATAAAAAAAATTTCTGGGCATGATTATAACGATTTTCAGAAAATTGAGGATAGATTTACGAAGTTACCTGATGTTTACTGGTAAGCGCCATTTTGTTGGTGACGTACGTGACTCGTTTTATGTAGACTGGTCCCGGCGTCAAACTTGCTCTGTTTGTGCTAAAGAACTGCTTGTGCTAGTACAAATACTGGGGCCGCGAACCCGTCTACGTTTCCTGCGAGAACGCTACGATCTGATCTGCGATGTATAGCGTGAAGGCACTTCAAGTCGACGTGAGTGTTGCTACGCTGCTAATCGGCGATAAAGTAGTCGCCGATAGTCAAATCGTAGGGCGACCTGAGCGAGCCTCAATATGCTAGCTGGAGTGCTGTAACACATGGTGATGGATTGTAAATGCAGTTTGATCAGTTGCAGACAAAATAAACTGTGTCTACATTTTACAGGAAGATGCACTGAGACCATCTACAATACCAAGTGTGCCTAAAGGGGGAGCCAAATTCATTTACAAGTCCAAGCAACCTAGCAAGCTGGTAAATAGTCACTGTGAGATAAAACTACACACCTATTTATGTTTCTGTGATATTTCAATTAACCTTAGTGCATTATGCTCACTAATATAATGTGTTACATGTGTTTCAGGCGATTCGTGAATCACATGGCATTTCATATGTCGCTTCTGCTACTAATCAGGAGAAAACCCCAATAATCCGAGATACAGAAGACATCGCTCAAGAAAGTGGCTCCATCTATCAGCGAACGAGAGAGGCAGTCGAGGATGCGACCCCGGGAATTACCCACATGATTCCAGGATCCTGTCTCCCTAGCAACCAGTATAAACGCAGTCAGTTGGAATTCGATGATTTTGGAATTCCAACAGGAATAAAGCGGACACATTCGCAGCCTGCCATTTTCTTCGAGCAAAGGCAGCGTTTGCTGAGTGAAAACAGAACTCACAGTGAGAGTGACTTAGTTCGCTGCGGTAAGGTGCAGGTACCCAACATCACAACTACTCATGGTGTTAGCAACTGGGCAGCATCTGCTACTGTGAAAACTGCATCGCTAGCTTCCACTGCCTGTGTCGTAGATGACACCAGTTGCAATCGCTCTGTTACCTCTCGGGGCAGAAAAACAGAGGGTGCAGAGAAGCAGAGACAGGTTCAACTCACGGACAGCAATCAGGACATACCCAGCATACACCCGCTTGACGCTGCCTCTGGTCGTGCTGATCACCATGGTAACGGGGGTGAGAAACACCTGGAAGGTTCGGACGTGCGTGCAACTACGACTAAAGATCCAAAATGTTACGACGCAATCAGTGAGAAAGCCAGTGAAACTGTTAATGGCAGCAACACAGCCCCTGGATATTCAGGAGGAGAAACGTGGAAAAGCAGTGATAGAGATACCACAGGCGAGTCGTCCCTGTGTGTTGATGAGAATTTAGCAGGTGCAACTACGAATACGGGTGAACCAGTAGAACTATCAAAGCTGACAAGTGGTACTAAGGACGGTAAGAACTCTTTAATGACACTGTCAACATTGCACGATCAAGGCTATAACGTCTTGGACTACATTGACAGGTTGGAATGTGTTGACAATGCTGCGGGGCACGCTCCACCAATGACTCTGGATTCCTTCATCCGTCCTAGTGGTGGCAAGTCCAAGCAGAAGCGTAAGGGTAAGAAAAAGGGCGGCAAAACTCCTAGTAAAGCTACAAAAACGTGTGAGCATTCACACGTGGAGACAGACATAACCGACAGCATTGTGAAACCCAAAGCAAACTCGCCACCAGAACTCGACGCCGCTAATGGCTTCTGGGAGGTATTTCACGATGACAGGAAAACAACAACAGAGCACACTCATGATCCTCTCCATGCGTCTGCTGTCGTCGCTCCACCTGTGGATACGAGGGAAGATGAGCAGCAGGAGGTGGGCTCACAGACCCAGCAGTTTGAGAGTCTCCGTGGACCGTGTGTTATGCAGATTGAGAATGTGCCGTCTACGGTGCAGGACTGGGAAATCGAGCAGCTGCTGGAGCCGTTTGGGTCGGTGCTGGAGACGAGGATGCTGAACACAGACGATAAAGTGAAGGTTAGAGTCAGGTAGGCATCACACTTAACACAGCACTACTGGGTAAACTCACATTCGTTTAATCAGTGTGGCGAACACAGGAGTCACGAGTGATGTCATAGTCATTTAACCAGTAGCTAATACAGCTGTCATAGGTAAAGTCAAAGTAATTTAACCATTATACTTATAGTTAATGCAGCTGTCAGAGGCAAAGTTCCAATCGGGTATTAAATGATCAGTATATATTATGATCATTATTCCTATTTAATATGAATTATTGTTATTATTATATTTTTGGATTGCTAATTAAATGTGTAATAATGGTCACCGGTGCGTGTAAAGTTCCAACAGTATAATTAGTTTATGTTAAATTATTTTATGATTATTTTGGCTAGGTTCGAGGAAGCTTCAATAGTTGAGTGGGCAGTGTCCTGCCTGCATGAATCTGAATCTCCTTTTCCTGGTAATTACATTTGATTTTATTGTTAAAACAAACATTTAATGCACAGTAGCATTTTGATAGTTTATTTCCATTTTATAGAACATTCCACAATGTCATTTTTAGCTCACCTTGACATCGTCAAGCTGAGCTATTGCCATGGGTCGTCGTCCGTCGTACGTCCGCCCGTCCGTCCGTCCGTCCGTCAACATTTGGTTTCGGTCAACGATAACTCAGGAACCGTTTAACCCACATGTTTGAAATGGGGTGTAGTTGTTACTGCTATGCTCCCATATGGAACGTCCTATTTTGAAGCACGCCAGTCGACGTACTTTCGAGCCATGGCGATTTTTTGGCAAAAATGGGAATTGCCATTAGTCAGTTCAGGTTCAACGGATTTTGCTCATTTTTGGTATGTGAATGAATAAGGGCTAGGGGTTTTGATCTTTAAAAAAAATTATGCAAATTAGGTAGGGTTTGGCAATTATATAACATATTTTATAAACACAAACAGTCTGTGGTGTCACACTCGTCTGGTTCGTTTTACAAGATTTCATTGACAATATCTTTAATGCAAAATTGGTATTTCCTCTCCACCTTGCCGATAAAACGTCTATATTAGAGTAAAGATTTACAAAACATGTCGGAACACAGCATAACCTGTTTATTTCGAACGCCATCGCTGCATCTACAGTCACAAATTGTGATTTATTTTGGTTTATAAATTATTATTGCGATATACAGATGGCAATCGTTTGTATAATGTACGTCGATGGTTGCTCAATTAAAACTGACTTCTTCTTACTCACTCATTTGTGTCCTTTTTTGTGGTGAGCTACAGTGTCATTAACACTTTCATTATCTTGCAGGTTGCAGTCTTCCATTTCTTTGCATGGCTGTAGAGTGAAATTGATCTTCATCGAAGAACACACACACAATTTTAAAGATGTGCTGTGTGATCTACTGGTTAGATTAGGTCCTGATGGTTTTCATGCTGGAAAATAAGGAGGAAGTACAAGTCAAGCGGTACTGCCCGCTGGAACAAGACTGTACTGTTGTTAGTGAAAATTATATCAAATTAGTTCAAGGGTAAATGTGGCCAGCATTTCTGAGTAATCAGATCCATGTCATTGCATTCCTTGATAATGGGTGCGAATTATTATTTTAATTTATTATTTCAATTGCACGTTGAATAAGGTCACCATGACCTCATATTACCATGAACATGTATGATGAATGAACTATAATAGCCCTGGGTATAATTGGCAATAAATTTAGAATTTCTGGCAACCAACAATAACAATTTCTGGCACCTGGCTCTTGCCATCTAGTCGCATTTCTTATGAATTCGGAATCTAACACCATCTAACGATCAAGTCCATAATGATGATCCAAGTTCTTTCATCCAATTTTTTTGTATTTATGTTCGTAATATTAATAGATTGAGCATTAATTTGGAAGGTACATCTGATCGATTACATGCTGTTCTTTACAAAAGAGTTACAGCTAATCGTAGCACGATGCTTCTTATAGACTGCAAACATGCGATTCCAAAATGCTTGCCACTTTTTGAATACGGGTTATATGCAATGTAGCAATGTATTATAAGTGCTAAGATTGCAGTTATTCACAGTGTCCATGAATGCACTACCACTGATGCAGGTTTGAAGCATTAACGTACGTATATTGTGGCATAGTTTAAGATTTAAACATATTTCTCTCTGTGCAATACTCACGAGAAAATATTTTTAACATAAAATTTATAAAAGTCAGAATATTTTATTAAATGTTTTTATAACCATTACTTGCATAATTGTTTTGAATTGAAATGTAAAATTTACAAAAGATTGTACATGGGAGCAATTTACATACTTCATACTTGCATATAGTCAAATAATGACTGTCATAAAATTACCTTTCTAATAACCTTTCATAGTCATAATGCAGTTTAATAATCTATAGTTATATAATCCTAACTTTCCTCATGATATTTTCCTTGAAGCATTTTTGATCTGTGTCAGAGTTAGTCACAATTAAAGTGATTCGTGTTGCGCGATCGTAGGTATTGTAGCAGATTCGCTTTTAGAATCGTGCATCGATGTGCAGTTTATCTCACGGGAGATGGCGCTAGCCGCGAGGACGGTTCCA